GAACGCATACAGAACACATGGAACATGCATACAGAACACGAATATGGAACAAACGTACGGAACACACGTATGGAACACGTATTGGAACACATACGGAACACACAGAACACACATACGGAACACGTACAGCACACACGTACGGAATGCATACGGAACACATGGAACACGCCTACGGAACACACATACAGAACGCACGTACGGAACACATGGAACACACGTACGGAACACGTACAGAATACGCATATGGAACGCATATGGAACACACGTACGGAACATGCATACAGAACACGCGTACGGAACACATGGAACACACGTACAGAACACACGTACGGAACACATACAGAACACACAGAACATGCGTACGGAACATGCATACAGAACACACGTATAGAACACGTACGGAACACGCGTATGGAATGCATACGGAACACATGGAACACACATACGGAACATACGTATGGAACACACGTATGGAACGCATACAGAACACATGGAACACGCGTACGGAACACGCATACAGAACACGTGTATGAAATGCATACGGAACACACATATGGAACACATATGGAACATATGTAACGTGTATAGAACATGCGTACAGAACACACGGAACACACATATGGAACACATATGGAACATATGTAACGTGTATAGAACATGCGTACAGAACACACAGAACACAGAACACACGTACGGAACACACAGACGGAACACACGTACGGAACATACGTATGGAACACATGTACAGAACGCATACAGAACACACGGAACGCGCGTATGGAACATGCATACGGAACACATGTATGAAACGCATACGGAACACACGTACGGAACACACATATGGAACATACGTAACACGTACAGAACATGTGCACGGAACACAGAACACACATATGGAACACACGGATGGAACACACATATGGAACACGCTTTTCACTGGAAAAAAGGATGTTCAAGACCTCCGTTGTTCAGCCTTGGGTGTCCTGGCGGACTTTTTTTTTGGAAGATGAACCGTGAGCCTGTCGCATTGAAAGAACATAGCTGACAGCAAATAAAACTCAAGCTTTCATGCAAAAATCAGGATTCTGAAAAACTTGTACCCACTACCTCAAGCTGACCACCTTTCCAACGTAAAGGCTCTTCTGCTAAGATTGTGATATCACCAAAGGCGATTTTAAAACACGGATTAAGGAACTGTCAGCATTTGGAAAATCCGCATAACTTGGTGAACCAAACGCCCAGTGTGTGAGGTCACGAAAGCACGGGGTGGATGGAGTCCTGGGAGCACAAGACGGACCAGTGGCTTCTCCTGAAACAAGAGAAATCTCACTGATACGGTTTCAGACTCCACATCACAAGCAGCCTGTAAAAAAGCCAGCGCCTGTCCGGCGTTGGAAGAGGATCAGTGAGAATCTCCCCATTCTTCGCAAAGGCTGCTAACATGCTCCTTTTGTTTTCAAATACAGATAAGGCTTAGATTCTCCATTTACCCCAATACCTCGCGACCAAAACAGCCCACAGCGGATGGACCCAGAGCTTGATGAAAAGCCAGAGGGCTTCTCTCAGGCCAGAGATTTACCACAGTGTAAAGCTATGCCACGCTTCTCCCTAAAACTTTTTGTTTGGGAAAATATATTTTTCATACAATTGTTATTTTTGTTAATATGTCTTGGGTTTATTGCTATTTTGAAATGAATACAGGTTTTCCAGATGTCTCAGCTTTCATTTCTAATAAGCTATTCTAATGCGTATGACTATTGGTCATTAGAACTCACACAATCAAAAGCTCTTTGGCACTTTCCATGGTTTTTAAGAGTGTTGAGGGGTCCTCAGGCCAGTTTGAGAAGGGCCGCCGCAGGGTGACATGTCTGGGAGTGGCGCTGCCCAGGGGAGGGATCTGGGTTTCTTCAGCTCCAGGAGGGGACACCGCATTGCTTCTGGCAGTGGCTGTTCCAATTCACACTCTGCCAGCCACGCAGGATTTTCCATCTCCCGATTCCTCCTGGTCCCCAGTAGCCACGTGACCTCAGTCTGTGGTTCCCCCTCCCCAACTCCGAGGTGGGCTGATCGGTCGTTTCACGCTGACTGGCCTTGGACCTTTGGCCCTGTCCTTTTTTCATATGAATTTAAACATCATCGTGTTCATTTCAAAACAAAATGAAACAGAAAGCAGCATTATTGAGAGTATGGTTGGAATCACATTCACAAAATGGCGACGCGGTACGTTGGCGCTCCCGGGAGTTTGCTAAGCCTCTCTGGTGCTCAGGTGTTCTCTCGATGTTTCTCTAAGACTCTTCCTTTCGGGGTAGATTCATTCCAACTCTGAATGGGATGTTTCTTCATTCTCATTTTTGACAAGTTCAGGGTGGTTTAAGGAGCTCTCGATCTTGTCACTGGCTTTCTGGGTATAGAAAAATGAGGTCCGAAAACACAGGTAACTCTGCTTTCTTCCTGTCTTATCCTCATTGTTTTGTTTATCTCAGTGCAGTAGCATGAAAGCAACATGGACACCACAGCCGAAAGCAAGCTCACCTGCCGGGCTCCTGGTTTGCGCTTTCAGTGCCAACGTGCTGCTTTGCCGAATCTCCTCAAATATTTTGGCATTAGGTGACATCGTCACTTTTTCTCCTTAATGGACCAACAACTAAGGAAGAAATCAGAAGTTGCTGAGGACGTGCTGCCGCCGAAAGGCAGTGACCCCAGGAGGTTCTGCGGCTGCTGGAGAAGGATGGGCAGCGCTGGCCCCTGCTGAGGTGGTGGAAAGGGCATAAGTCAGCAACTCCGGTGAGAGAGGGTGAGAAGCCACTTCTAACCCAAGCCCAGCAGCCACCTGTGCGTGCTCTAACGAATGCCTGGCGGTTACTGAAGCACCGTGCGTCATGACTGCAACTCCAGAGAGGCTTCCAGGTCCATCTGTCACCTCTTGCGGAGTGCCCAGCTCAACCACCTTCCTGCCAGGGCCGCGAGCACCCTTTGCTCTCCAGCGCTTGGGGCTGGCTCCCTGTTAGGAGGCTCGGGAACCCCACACTGGCCCCGTGGGAGCTGCGCCAGCCGCAGTGGTCAGCAGCTGGGGCAGGCGCCTGTGTCATGGCTGCGTTCCCAGCACCTAGGGTGGCCCAGGTGCCCAGTGGGAGCCCAGTGCATTTGTAAGCAAATGTTTTATTGGGTGGTGTCTTGCCTTCGAGGCAGGTGGGTACCTGAGCTGGAAACCCACCTGAGCAAGCTCCCAAAACTCAGGTCTGCGTCACTAGATGTGTCCACATCCTCTGTCCTCCTGGGGCCACTTCTGCTTCTCAGCAGGCACTATGGCCGCCACACTGGCTTGCAACCTCTGGGCCTCTTCCTAACTGCAGGGACAACGGCGTCATCTGGCAGCTGGAAACTGGCACCACAGCCCCAGCTGCCGCTCATTAAGCCCTGGTGACACTGCCTCTCATCCCACAGCCACATGGCCTGAGTCCTCGGCACACAGGCTCTGGGGAGATCACTGAGCAGGGTGGAACACCCAGGACCCTTACAGCAGAGTGAATTCTGCTTGCCCCGCTCTCTGCCGGGTGCCACAGAACACGCTGGCCTCTCCTTCACACAGACAAGCCTGGGCATCCTCCGCACCACCATGGTCCACAGGCTGGTCCCACACCTAGTGGAGCCCAAGCTGCTCCCGTGCCTGGCTGACCTCAAGACCCCTGAGAGGGTTGGGTGAGCTGCTGCTGCCTCTTGTGAGATGACCACAGCACTGCCTGGAAAAATGGCTGCCTCCACGCCTGCCTCCGTGGCCTGTCTCCATGGCCTGCCTCTGTGGCCTGCTTCCAGCCTGCCTCCATGGCCTGCCTCCACGCCTGCCTTCACGCCTGTCTCTGTGGCCTGCCTCCACGCCTGCCTCCTGCCTGTCTCCGTGGCCTGCCTCCACGCCTGCCTCCTGCCTGTCTCCGTGGCCTGCCTCCTGCCTGTCTCCACGGCCTGCCTCCACGCCTGCCTTCACGCCTGTCTCTGTGACCTGCCTTCACGCCTGTCTCTGTGACCTGCCTTCACGCCTGTCTCCATGGCCTTCTCACCTCGTAGCCAGAGGGAGATTTCTGAACCCTGAGTCAAACCATGCTGCCCACCTGCTGACCCACCTGCCACAGAACCTTCGGTGGGCAGCAGCTTGCCTAATTCCAGGAGATGACTCACACACACCTGACCCCAGCCTCCTTAGCAGCCAGGACAGCCAAACGCCCAAGTCCCGGCCGACAAGGCTTATAGAGAATTCAGCTCCTGGAAATCTGGAGCCTCTGGAAAGAGTTTACACCTGGTGGAAGGGCTGGCAGTGAGGTGAGCTTGTAGCTGTGGCTGCTCCACCACCCGCCTCTCCCCCGTGGATGTCATATCCAGAGCTGCAATAACACTTGCAATAAGCTTGAAAAACACAAACCCTCCTCCCACCGGCTGCTGGGCCTCTGTGGCCTGGCTGCTGGCGACAGGGCTGCTGCTGCGCCTGGGGCTTGCTCCCGTGTCCTCTGCCTCTGGGCCTTCACACTGGTGATTCCCTGCGTGGCTGCTGTTCCCAGCTCTCCAGGTCCTCAGACCAATCCCCTCCCTTTCAGGGGAGGTCCTTATCACAACCTGCAACCATTTCTCTACTGACTCGTTTATCTCCCCCCAGGGGAGGCGTAAGCTCCATGAGGCCAGCCTTTGTGCCGTCCACCATGACGTCTCCAGGGCCTAGAACATCCAACAGGGCTGGGCATGCGAGCAGTCATCACTTTTATTGGTGCCACTGCGGAGGAGAGTGGAAACACCTGCTGTTCCAAACAGGCGAATCAAAAGCCTCCCGGAATCCCCCTGGGGTTCCATCAGGCGTCAGAGGCCACTTAAGGACAGAGGCAGAGGTCCCGTGAAGGAGGACATGGGGTTCCCTTCGGGAGAGAGCTCACCCCCAGCTCCAGCCTGCCCCGGCCCGTTGCTATCTGCTTTCATTTTGGGGATCCATCCATCAAGCCAGCAAAAGCAAACCATGCTTTCCAGGCAAGAACGAAAAAGTATACACTTCATAGCAAAGCCATTTCAAGTGTCATGGATAGTAACGACACTGGAGAGTGGATCTCGGACGTCCTTCCTCGAAGTGAACCCTGGCCTGTGTCCGAGGAAGGGCATTCATGCTGGAGACTGGAGCCTCATGGTCCCCAGGGCCTGGAGGGTCCTCAAAACACCCCTCAGAAGGGATCCTGCCAGAGGCCAGGTGGAAGGTGGTCCCCACTCACAGGGCAGCCCCCGTGCCCACCTGGCCTGAGTGGCCCGGGCTGGGTGGCCCCATCAGCACCACCAGCTGCCCAGCCCCGCCCGGCCCTGCCGCAGCCCGCCGGCCTAGACGCTGGACTTGGCGATGATCCTCTCCAGCAGACTCATCATGCGCTCCTGCAGCTGCAGGCTCTGCACCTGCAGGATGTGCTGCTGGTCCAGCACGCGGCGCACCTCGCGGCAGGTCTCCTCCACGGCGTGGCTCAGCCGGCGCTGCTCCTCCACCATCGCCTCCAGCAGCCGCAGCTGCTTCTTCTGCAGGTGGCCGCTCTGCACCTTGCGCTTCTTCACTGGCCGCTCCTCCGACCTGGAAGGACAGTGCGGCTGTGGATGTGCTGGCCACAGAGCCTGGGCACACAGGGGCCCAACCGGACGCTCCCAACTATCCGACTAGGCAAGTGGGGAAACTGAGGCCCCAGGGAGTCAGGTCACTCACCCAGGGTCTCATATTCTATGTGCAAAGGAGAAGCCAGAACCCACCCCCTGGGACAGCAAGAAAGTAACAGGGGTGGCTGGGCACGGTGACTCATGCCTATAATCTCAGCACTTTGGGAAGCTGAGGCAGGCGGATCAGGTCAGGAGTTCGAGGCCAGCCTGGCCAACATGGTGAAACCTCGTCTCTACTAAAAATACAAAAATTAGCTGGACACCTGTAATCCCAGGTACACGGGAGGCTGAGGCAGGACAATCGCTTGAACCTAGGAGGCAGAGGTTGCAGTAAGCCGAGACCGTACCACTGCACTCCAGCCTGAGTGACAAGAGTGAGACTTCACCTCAAAAAAAAAAAAAAAAAAGTGCCAGCCGCGGTGGCTTACGCCTGTAATCCCAGCACTTTGGGAGGCCAAGGCGGGTGGATCACAAGGTCAGGAGTTCAAGACCTGGCCAAGATGCCTGGCCAAGATGGTGAAACCCTATCTCTACTAAAAATACAAAAAAATTAGCTGGGCATGGTGGCACACGCCTGTAATCCCAGCTACTCAGGAGGCCGAGGCAGGAGAATCGCTTGAACCTTGGGCCGGAGGTTGCAGTGAGCCAAGATTGTGCCACTTGCACTCCAGCCTGATGACAGAGTGAGACTCCAACTCAAAAAAGAGAGAGAGAGAGAGACAGGGGGAAGGAAGGGAGGGAGGGAGGGAGGGAGGGAGGGAGGGAGGGAAGATAGGCCCACAGGCATTGCCGTCCTTTGTGATTAGCAGGTGACCCCAATGACCAGGGTCCCAAGACAACCTACACCCCTTCGGTCTGGAAAGCTGGGATGTTCTGGGATGCAGAGTGGCCCATCCTGCTAAGGAGTACCCCTCACCCACCGAGCTGGGCAGGCGGGGGTTCAGCCCCCGTTGGGGTCCAGGGGTGGAGAGGTCACCCCCAAGGAGAGACGACAGCTGGGTTGGGGGTGCTGGGTAGTGTGGAGCACTCAGGACCCCTGCAGGGAAGCCAGAGGCCACCAGTCCCACCTGGCCTTAGGCAGATAGAGAAACTGCGGTCCCAGAAGGAAGGGCCTGGGATGTGAACCCCTTTATCTCCTGGTGGCCTAGAAACGGGGCCAGCACACTTTGGGGTAGAGAGGCGGAGGACAGGAACCCAGTGGGTGTGGGGCCCACAAGAGGCCTACAGTAGCCTAGAAATGGGGCCAGCACACCTTGGGGTAGAGAGGCAGAGGACAGGAACCCAGAGGGTGTGGTCAAGAGGCCAAGGCTCTCTCCCAACAACCCTGGACCTTCAGTAGAGGTGGGCAGTGAGGACAGCCCAGCCCCGAGACGTCTCCTAAGTGCTCTGCTGCTAAGGTAGGGGCCACCTGTGAGCTCAGCAGACCCCACTGAAGGGCAGGGAGCTGCCAAAACCCACAGACCCCAAGGCCCTGCTCCACAGCCTGCTCTGAGCTGAGAGGGTGCGGCCAACCCCAGGGGTGGGAGCAGCACTTTGGGCCTGACAGGGAGGGCAGCCCCCACACCCCAGCCCTGTGCAAGGCCCCAGGCAGCTGAGTCTGGGAACTGGGCTCAGTCCACGGGAACAACAGCCATGATCTCAGGCCTCCTGCTGGTTCCTTCTGGCTGCCAGCAAAGGTGTCAAGCAGCAGCCCTTGGCATGGGAGGTGTCGGCTGGGGGACCCTCCTCAGAGACGCCTTCCTCACCCACCTCCCATCGGAAAGACCTGAAGAGCAGGGCGGGGAGAAGCTGTGACCAAATCCACAATCTTCCTATTCTCGCCTCCAAATGGCCAACTTCTATTTTACCTTGAAAGCCCACCCCAAATGTCCCTGCCTCCAAAGTACCTTCTCTGGACTCCCCGGGCCACCCCATAGGCGTCTGTCCTGCATGCTGCCTGGCTCCCGGCTGCCCCGTGAGCATCTCACAGGCACAGTCATGCAGCCAGCACAGGCCAGGCCTGGGGTGAGGTGTGGGATGAACGGCGGAGGGCCTGGGTCATGCCCATGGCACAGTGTGATGAGGCGCAGTCCAGCACTCTCCCCAGCGCTGAGAGGGCAGCCGGCCTGTGCGGCGGGGCCTGTGTGGGGTGAGGGACGCCAGGGTGTTTTCTTGGGTCTGAGGCTTGGTCTCCCTCCGTGTGCTGGGTCCCATGCTGTGTTTCCTCTCCTGTGAGGCTCCCAGCCACCCTCTGAGAAAGGTACTGATTTATCCCCATTTTATAGGAGGGAGACTGAGGCCAGAGAAGTCAAGGAACTTTCCGTGCAGCTCGAAAGTGATGGAGCTGGGAGACAAACTTGGTCTGCCTGTGGACACTAAAGTCCTCCCTGGTCCGAGGCTGCCTGTCCCTGGAGGTGCCGCCCACAGCTACGGCCACGGCCACAGCCTCTGCAACCACCGTGGCTGCCGCTGCCCTCGCCACTCCCAGCCCCTCTCTCTGGATGGTGGGGGCAGGCCGAGACACCCCAGGGCCGGGAAGGGCAAGCAAACACACACTACCTGAACTTAAGGGACAGTAAGCTGGAGGAGCTGTCGGAGCGATCGTCCTCAAAGCCGCCTTCGTAGGAGCACTGGTTATACGGGAAGTACAGAGGGGTGGACTTAGCGGGCGGCGACAGGGACGCCTCGGTCTGGGACGTGGAGGGTCCCGGCGGCTGGCTGTCCGGCAGTTTGCCATCACAGGACTCAGGGACCTTGGCCAGGATCCCGTCAATGGCTAGGTAATAGGGCCAGTCGGGCGGGGCGGACTCGCTATCTGTCATGCATTTTAATTTCCTGAAACGAGAGACACAAGAGCCAAGGGTGAGAAACAGCGAGTCCCAGCCCCTGTCCTGCCCGGCCTCAGCAGATGGGCGCGCCGCGCCGGCACGGGCAGGAGCCGCTCTCGGCCAGCGAGGGCCTCCCCTGCAAAATCAACCAGGCTCCGGGTCAAGATGACACTGGACTTAGAAGGAAGCCAGGCTTCGGGATCCACAAGGGCAGGGTGTGAGAAGGAAGCGCACCCCAGTCTCGCTAAGGTGGCCTGTGAATGCTGGGACCCTGGGCTGAGCCTGTCGCTCTCCTCTGCTTTTCTGTAGTTTCTAAACTCTCTGCAATGAGCAGATACTGCTTTTTAAATAAGTTACTTTGAAAGGGAGAGTAATGAGGTCTGATTGTAATAATATGGTATCATGAGATGTAAAAATACAGTGATAAGACTTTGTCTACAATGACTGTGCTGTCGGGGAGTGGGGGTGGGGGGAGATCGCCTCGGGGCCAAGAACCCCTGGTGTGAGAGCACAGGCTTCAGTGTCCACAGCTCTGAGCCAGCATCTCATCTCCGCACTTCGCGGTGTGACCTTGGGCAGGTTCATTCACCTCTCTGAGCCTCTGTTTTTATAGCGATGACGTGGGGATGATGGAAGTGAGTCCCTCCCCCAGAGGCAGGGCAGATTTAATAAAGCAAACGGCAGGCCTGGCTTCCATGCCACGGCTGGTTGAACCTACGGTCTGCGCAGGAGCCTGGATCCAGCACTTGAAACTGCAGCCTGTCCGGAGGCCCCAGGGCGGGCCTGATGGACCCCTTCCCGCACTGCCTGACCCCTCATTACCCCTGGGGTTCTCCTGCATCCACCTCCTCCCACAGACAGGTCCTGCCCTCTGAGAGACTGGGGAAGTCCCCAGGCCTCCCCTGGGCCTTGGCTGCCCTCTGGGAGGTCAAGGCAGGGAAGACAGGGCTCCAGGGTGGCCAGACAGCTCTGGCCAGGCCAGGGAAGAAGCTACAAGATGGGGGTGGGGTGGGGGGGGTCTCTGCCTCATCAGACCCAGAGCCCACCCCCAACTCTGCCTTTGAGCAACAGATTGCCCCAAGGCCAGGCTCCAGACCTGCCCTGTGCTCCGAGGGGGCGTGTCCTCTCTCCTACTCGTGTTACCTGCCAGCTGTTGCCATTGGCTGCTGGAAACAATAAGCTGGCTCCTGAATGAGTTGCCCCCAGCAAATAGGCACAGCCAGATGGTGAGCAGGGGCTGCTGCCCAGGGTGGCACGTGGCTGTGAGAGGACACCAGCACAGAGCGCATGAGGGCAGGTGCCGCGTGCCCATCCCCAACCTCTGCGCCAGGCTTCTCTCTCTGTCCTACTCGAGCTAGCCCACTCTTTGGAGAAACAAGAAAAGGCCTATTCTCAGCCTAGGAGGTCCCCAAACTGTACTCCAACAGCCACACTCAACAGAACCAGCCACCCTCTCAGACTTCTTCAGCCTGACAGCCTTAATATATAAAGAGCTCTTGTTAAAAAAAAAAAAAAACACAAAAAAAAGAAAACAAGAAAAGCCTCTGCTATAGGGAGGTTGGGGATATAAAGAAAGGACAAAGAATGAGTCATGTGGTCACAACTTCCTCTGTTAAGGACTGTGTGGCCTTGGGCAAGTCCCTCTCATGCTCTGGGCCTCAGTTTCCCCCTAGGTGAACTAAGGCTGACTGGCAGCTGTGAGGGACTGCGGTGCAGAAGTGCATCATAAACCATGAGGTGCTGTGTACCGGCACAGCCCTTGGCCCTCCCAGACTGCGGGGTCTGGAGTGGAGGCCCCCACCCTACTGCACCCTCATCTCCCAGCCTCCAGGAATGGAGACAGAAACCCTCTCCTGGGACTCTGAAGAGGCTTTCAGGATAAATAATGAATAACCTGGCCAGACACCAACTAGAGCCAGCTGGGGAGGCGGTGCCCGTGAATTCCTGAGTCAGAGGGGAGCCTGCTGGAACAGCCACAGCCACCTCCCACAGACCTCTGTGTCCCTTCCTCACCAGCTGCCTGAGCGGGGCCAGGAGGCTGTGGGGACAGTGGGGCCGTGGGGACAGTGGGGCTGTGGGCAGCTGCCTGTGTCCACCAAGATTCTGCAGACACCCAGGCTCACACCTCAGCCCTCACGTCACAAGGTGGCAGCTCAAACCCAACATCAGTCACGCTCAGCATCCTAGGTCCTGGCTTTGGGGCCTGGCTGGGGGCCTGGGTAGGGCTAGGTCCTGGACCCCCTTCAAGGCTCATAAAAAGTCAAATCAACACAACTGAAAGCGGAGACCCCACGAGCAGGTCCAGGGCCCTGCTGGGCCTCTTCCCTACTCTCACCAGGGCTGGGGGCTGGGGATCCCCTTCTGCTGTGCTGGAGGTGGGCTCCTCACCTGCTGGGGGAGTGGGGGTGGCCTCTCCCATGAGTGGCTCAGGTGCCCCCAGCCTCCCTGTCCCGGGCTCACCTGCCTGACCCAGAGATGGAGCAGCTGAGTGAGGCGCCCCCAGGACAGCCCCTCCCACCCTGGACACTGGAGGCTCCGGGCTGCCCCAGGCCCAGCCCCGCCAGGCCACCCACAGGGCCCTTCTCCCCCTGCGGCTTCCAGCTAGTGCTGCCACCCTCGCTCCAAGCAAGACCCTCCCCACACCCAAAACCATAACTCCACTCCTGTGACCTTCACCCCAGGCCCATGACCTTCACACGGCAAGACCCTCACCCCACCTGTGACCCCACCTGTGCCTGTGACCTTCACCCCACCATGATCCCCACCCCTGACCCTATCCTAATGGGCTGGGGCCCCACACACCTTAAAGTGCTGGATGTGTGGGACCACACCTGTCCCCTCTGAAACACCAGCGTGTCCCCTCTGGCCTTCCCTGCAGGCTGCCTAGGCAGGAAGAGCCCACCTGGAATGTGGTGGGGGCAGAGGTGGGGCGAGGCTGGGAGCCCCACACTGGCAGTCCTGGGCCAGGGCGGGGCTCCACCTCTTTCGTTTTCGCACAGTAAGCCCCGCCCATGCACTGGCCGGTCCTGCGCCTCTGACGATTTCTGGAAATACCCATCTCTGACCCTAGGGCCAGCCCCAACGGGGCTCTTGGGCTCATAGCAGAGGCTCGGTGGATGCTCACAGTCACAGAGCCTCCTCCTTACCTGCAGTCTCAGTTTCCCCAGTGGTGCAGCAGGCCCCTGAAACCCCTGCTGAGGGCTTGGTGGTGGGGAGGGCGCTGGCAGCCACAGCCTCCCTTCCGGAGGAAGGAGGGTGTGAGGTCAGTGGGCACCGCCGTGAGTGGTGCTGCCTCCACGGGACAGTGCCCAGACCGCCCATACGTCCTGGGAGACATCGTGGTCTCTGCCCAGCACCAGCCCCACCGGTTACCCCTCAGCTCTTTGACCAGCTTCCTGCCCTCGCTGGGCCTCAGTTTCCCCACTTCCCCAACAGAAGGCTGCACCCAGTTTCTGTGGGCCCTGTCTCACCCAGTGGAGGACGACAGGCAGGCCAGGACCCACGTGCCCTTCCGACTGGGCACTCTAAGAAAGCCGGGAGCGGCCCGTCACGCCCGGGCCCACCAGCCCTGCGGGGCCCACGCCGAGGGACGCCAACCTGTACTGGAAGGTCATGTTGGTGATCTTGATCTTGATCTCCTCGCCCAGCCTGCGCTCGCCCGTCATCTCGAAGAGCTTGCTGGCCATCTTCTCGTACACCTTGGCGTTGCGCTTGGTCTGCTTGAGCTCGTCGAAGAACTCCTCCCAGACCAGCATGAGGCCGCGCATCTCGGCGTCCGTCCAGTTGCGGGCCCGCCGGTGCTTCTCCGCCTGGGGAGACACGAGGTAGCCGGGCACCTCGGCCGCTGCCATGCTGGAGGCGCCTACGGGGTTAGAGAGCGCGCTCAGCGAGGCCCCCGGCCCGGCCCCACGCACCATGGGCGGGAGGCACCGCTCGCGCTCGCTCGAAGGCAGCTCCACGCTCAAAATGGGGCCTACATCTGACAGGCAGGAATTTAGTTAAAAGCTTTTAAACGGGAAACGTCATTTTGATGTCACGTTTCCATAGCAACAGAGCAACTGCATAAGCTACAACAACAGAAACCTTTTAACTGAAAGCACAGGAATCAGGGCCGCACTGACGGGCCATCAATATCGCAGCTCGGGGCCAGGCCCAAACCCGGCGGCCGGCTCCCGGCCCTGCCTCCCACCGCCGCCCAGGCGATTGGCCCCCAGCTCAGTGCCGCCCCAGCTCACGCAGGCCAAGACAGGGACTCGGGTGGGACCAGGCCAGGAGAAAGGGGGCAAGAGGTGGGAGAAACAGAGGACAGGAGATGGGGAGGCTGAGGCTCCCAACGCTGGCTACTGGCCCGGCAGGGGTCCTAGGTATGGGACCCTCAAGCTCCCTCAGAGGGCCCCTGCCAGGCTGAACTGGGGCTGAGCCCTCATGAGAAGCCCACACCCCACCCTTTGCTCCTTTTGCTTCTCTTTCTTCACCCCCAGGTGCCCTGGGCCTCAGGTCTGTGGACACTGGAAGCCCAGGTTGGTCAGAGCCCAGCCCTGCCCAGAGTGGCAGACGCAGGGTACACAGACCCTGGCCTCTAGCACCGGCTGGCAGGGACAGCAGGGACAACAGAGGCGAGCTCTGTTTGAGTCACAGGAGGGAATCAGTCCAGCAAGCCCAGGGAAGGCCACAGGGGACTCCTAGGAAGAGCCACGGGTAGGGCAGGGCACAGCCTGGGTAGGCGGGGAGCTGATAGGCAGCCAGATTTGGCTCGGCATGCAGAGACAGCTCTTGAGGCCCGGGCTGCAGAGCAGGCCCTGTGGGGCTGAGGGACTGAGATGCCCCAGGCTGACCAGGGGTGGCAGCCTGCCAAGAGCCCCAGGTGCAGGGGAACAGGAGTGCGTGGCCTGGGGGCTCTGCCTGGAGAAGTGCTGCCCAAGGGCATCAGTGCCCAGAACGTAATAGGAGCAAGTCAGGCAGGGCTCCGTGGAGCCCATGGCACCTGTGCAGGATGGGCCATGCTGGGCATAGTGTTCCAGGCTGAATGCCACTGTGGTCAGCAGAGGGACAGTGGGCACCCACCTCCCCTCCTCAGTGAGAAGAGCAGCACGTCTGCCAGGGGCTCTTGGCCAGCAAGAGGGTCCCAACCTGGATAGGGGGGTGCGTGGAAGATAAAAGATGACAGACAGAAGCTATGCTTCGCCAACAACTCTATTGCGCTCAGGGTCTGATTATATATGTTATAAGTAGAGTTGCTTACATAAAACACAAAAGTCTCCTTACATCAAATAAGTATAATGGAATACTTAAGTCACAAGGTAAGTTACGCCCAGTTGTAAATACTTAACAATTGTAAATACTTAAGTTACAAGGTAAGTAAGTTACCCCCAGTTGTAAATACTTAACTCACAAGGTAAGTAAGTTACGCCCAGTTGTAAATACTTAACAATTGTAAATACTTAAGTCACAAGGTAAGTAAGTTACGCCCAGTTGTAAATGCTTAACAATTGTAAATAAGTCACAAGGTAAGTAAGTTACGCCCAGTAAATACTTAACAATTGTAAATACTTAAGTCACAAGGTAAGTTATGCCCAGTTGTAAATACTTAACAATTGTAAATAAATTAAGTCACAAGGTAAGTAAGTTACACCCAGTTGTAAATACTTTATTATTTTACAACTAATGTAGCAAGGATCCAAAAATGAACACAATGAAACAATAAACCACAAGGAGCCAAAAGTGGACACAATGCCTCCCATGTCCTCATATCCATAAAGTAATGTCTGTTAATTATTTTGAATAGCATAGTCCCTCTCTCGGTTCCTGCTTTCCCTCAGCTCGACTCCCCCCAACCGGGGATCTGTGTCCGGGCTCAAGCTCACCGTATGGCGAGGCCCATTTCCTAGGGGCCTCACACGGGAGCGATCCCCACACCTCAGGCCTGGACAACTGCAGGAGAATCTCAGGTGTGGGCTGCCCCAGGAAGGGAGCTGAGCCTGGAGTGGGGCAACACCTCAGCCTCTGCCCACTGCCCCTGTTGTTCCCTGAGGCACCTCAGAGGTCGGGTTGAGGCACTCAGGGGAAGGAAAGGGCAGGGGCATGGCAGGGGTGCCTGGCCCCACTGTGGGTGCCCAGCGTGGAGAGGCCTGTTTGGGGCTCCCTCTTGCCTGCAGGCAGGATAGGAAGTGTACTGGGAGGGCCCCAGGGATGTGTGAGGAACTTAGAGGGGGCTCTGTACCCCTATACCGGGCCCTTGTCAAGGCCTGGCCCTACCATCAGCCCCACGAGACTCGTCCAGCCCCTTCCTTCTGGGCCTCAGGAGACACCATCCCTACTGCCTAGCACTGTGCCAAGGTCAGCTCTCGGTGCTGGGGGCTGGCACAGACAGCTCCATGGAGTGGCTGCAGATGAAGGAGTGAGTAGATACCCACCTCCAGGGAGCCCCTGACTCCTCAGGAACAGGGTTTGGCCCGCTCCAGTGAGGCTGGGGACCTGTCTGAATGCCCTCTCCAGAGCCATGACTCCAGGCACAGAGGTGGGGCTGGCTCCCAGCATCTCTTGGCATCTCCCGGCACATGGCACATGGGGTAGGCAGAAAGGCATGGGGGCCCAGCAGTGTGTTCTGGGTCGCAGCTCTAGTGACTCAGCGTGGACCCTAGTCATGTCCTCCCTGCTAGCCTCCGTTTCCTCACCTCCACAACAGAGTAACAGGACCTGACTCTATCACCCAGCATGGCGAATGCTGGGGTGGTCATGGGGCCCCTACCTGACCCCTACGCCTTTCCACAAATCTGCCTTGGAGCTGCTGGGGGGACAGCGTCAGGCCTGCTCTCCTGGCTGAAGGGGCAGGTGCTGGGCAGTGGGCACCACCACCAGTGCTGGGGGCTCCCACCTGACAGCTCTAGAGGAGGCACCTACACTCCTGCGTGCCTGAGTTCCATTGGGCACAGGGAGGCAGAGCCCTGGCTGGCAGGGCTGCACCACCCTCCAGGCAGCATTTCCAGGGTAAAAGGCTCAACTCCAACCCTCTCTTCCCAGGCTCCATGCACACAGGAGGCCCTGGACAGGGCAAGCTCCATGGCCTTTTCTGAGGCACAGCCCTCACAGTGACCTCCAAGGACAGCAGATGGCAGCACCAGGCACCCAGCTGCCCCTGCCTGGAAGGGTCCCTGCATCTGTCCCCTGCTGGGGGGCAGGGATCGTACCTTGGCACTGCTGCATGGCCTGCTGTGACCCTCAATCGCTGCAGGGTCTCCTAGGGCCAGGGGCTGGCCACCCAGCAGCACCTGCGGGAGAAGGGATAAGTCAGGCCTCTGCAGGAGCTGTCCATGGTGGAGACCTGGGACACGGGCTGGGGCCCTGCTGTGCTTAGGCAAGGAGCATGCTCCCTAGGTCTCTCCCCCGCTAAATAATGAGGCAGGGCCCAACCAGACTCTCATCCCACTCAGCATTTCTGGGTGGCTTCTCTGCCCCACTTGCAGGGCATGGGGACTGACTAAGTGACCAAGGGTGGGGGCAGGAGGGCTCCCCAACACAGTAGACTACAGAAGAGGCGGGCATCCCATCAAGGGGCACCTTCCAGGAGCAGCAGTGGTGAGCACAGACTGTGCAGATGGGTGGGGATTTGGCAGCTGAGGAGCTTGGAGCTTGGACGAAGGCAGAGAAGCACATGGAGTCCTGGGCCCAAATCAGGGGGGACCCTGGGCAGACTGAGGAGCCTGGACTTCCCCAGAGCAACTGGGGTCAGGAGGGGAAGGATGTGGCCGGCACTGCCACCACTGGGGCAGGGTGGAAGGTGGGGTGGGTGGGCTGTCTGGGGGGCACAGGGGCCAGGAGCCACCTCAGGGCCAGCCTGTTCCAGCAGTTTTGGGGCCAGCTGCCTGCCCAAGCGCAGAGGGCAGGGGCCTGTGCACACAAGGGGAACCCAGACCCACAACTTTGTCCTCCACCTCCGAGGAGACCCTGACCCTGACCTGATGGCTCCATGGGGCCCACCCACGGCTCAGGACACATGGAGGCCTGGAGTAGGGTGGAGAGAGCCGGCCCCACCACAGGGACCCCAGAGGGTGTGGCTACAACAGGGCCAGGCCCTCTGGGTGGCGTAAGCCACCGGCCCAATGGACAGCCAGGCTGCTGGTGCTGCAGAGCCCAGGGGAACCTCAAGGGATGTCCACATGGTTTCCCAAAAGAAGTCTTGGTGACACCACAAGGTTGGGTCCACCTCTGTGCCCAGGGGCACTGTCACGGTGCTCATGGACCAGACTCATGGGCCCGCGGGGAATGCCTCTTTCCTCGGGCCCCACTGCAGGCTTCCCTGAGGGGTGCACCCCACACCACCGGCAGCAGGGCCTCCTCAGTCCTTGGCTGGCTGCCACCTCATGCGGAGGCAAGGCCCCTACCCAGTCCCTTCTATTGTGGCTCCACCCGGTACTCATCACGAGCTGGCTACTTTCCTCATCTGACTTCCGGCGCTCCACGCTCCGCACAGGGGAATTGACTTCCAGATCCTCTTTGGAAGAAAGCCAGTGCCAGCCAAAACTGAATACCACCGAAAGCACAGAGCACAGCCTTGCGAAGGGGCAGGAGGGATCCTCAGCTCTGCAGCCGCTCCTCGGGGGGCGGGGGGGGGCAGGGTGTGCTCTCCAATGAGGAAGAGGGAGGCTGTGCGAGGGTATCTCTGCCATGGTGCCAGGATCGCAAAGCCCACTCACGGGCTCACCACTCCTTCCCACTGGACCCGGCCCCTTTTCTTTCTGAAATTACCAGCCATGCCAGTGTGCTCAGTGTGCCAAGGGTCTGGCTGTCCACACTTGAACCAGGGAGAAGGCAGTGCTTCATTTCCCTGAGGCGACCAGGTCTCAGAGGCCATTGGGGGGCCCTGGAGCAATGTCATCTATGAGGAGACAGATTTAGGGAGCCCAGGTGGCATGCCCCACATCAAATGCTTTGAGCAACCAGGGAGAATTGTAACTGGCTGGGCCCATCCACATCCTTCTGGCCAAGTGCTCCCTATCCCTGCTCAGAGGAAGGAACCCCCGCATGTGCCTCAGAACAGGCAGCAGGAGCTGCCCCCTTGGCTGACTGGGCTCGTCTCTGCTGACATGCACAGCACAGCAGGGAAAGAATGGGGGGAGATGACCCCTGCCAATTAGCCAGAACCAGACAGGACCTCAGCATATTTGCTGAATGCCCTGCACCAGAGGAAGCCACGGGGCTTTCGTTCTTGCAGGTTGGTGGGTTAGACATTTGCATCCCAAGATGACTACACCACTGACCACCAAGGTTCCCCAGAGGCTCGGCCAGAGCTTAGAAGGAAGCATCCCCGCTGAGCTGAGCAGAGGCTTCTTCGAGTAGGTGCTGGTTCAGAAAGAAAAAACAAGCTAGAACAGATGTGGCTGGCCCTGAGAACACACAGCAGCCCAGGCCACACCAGAGGTGGGACACGCCAGCTGCACTGGGGAGTAGCTGGGTGCAGCTAGGCCAGGGACACAGGTGCCAATGACCAAGGAGGTGGAAGGGTGATGGGCCCTGGGAGAACACAGCTCACCTCTGTGCCGGGCCTGACGACCTGCTGCAGTGCCATGAGCCAAGTCCTGAGGCTCGTGTATGCGTTTAAGCTTTTGGTGTCACGTGACCACGAAGGCTCCGGCAGCTCTGCGTGCAGGACAGGAAGACCACCTGCACTGTGGTTTGTGAAGGCTCTAGCCAGGCCCAAGCCCTGGGGCCCCTTCCTCATCCCTGCTGGCAGCTGCCTGCGGGACAGGCCGGTGTCCGGTGTTAGCTGGTGGGACGGCTGCTGCCTGTTGGAGACTGTTTCCTAAGGCTCCAGCTCAGCAACGTCTAGGTCTCATGAAGCAAAGCAAGCCTGCACAGCAACTGGTTTAAACTTTTCCTTTAATTTGGATGTACAATGTTTGCAGCAGTTAAAAAAATTAAATATACATCTCTCATCAGTCCTTCCCTTTGCTCTCGGATGCAGTCAGGTCTGGGCGGGGCTCCGGGACTGGCCCATCACAGCCCTGCTAGCTCCAGGGGAGCTCATGCTCAGCTGACAGTCCCTCTGGCCACAGTGCAAAGCAGGGAGACCTGGACAGGAGGCCCCTTGGGTCAGCGCCCACCCTCCACAGGCAGGTCCCTGTTGGCATGATCCTCCAAGGCTGGCAGTCACCACCCAGATTGGAGCAGGAGACTCTGCTCCTGGAAATAACCGAGGGAAAGGTGTTCCTTCGACTGCACCAGAGCGCGGCAGCACCCGGGGGAAAAGTGGACCCCGGCCTTCCAGGTTGCCTTCTGCTGTCATACGGCGCTCTGGGGGCTCCGTCCTTCCCAGGACCAGGACCGGCGAGCGAGTATCCTCTTCTTGTCTGAGCCATCGCGAGCTCTCAAGGCCTTCTTTCCTCTCACTCCCACACATGGCCCCCTGGAGGACAGCTCCAGTCTACCCTGGCCAGCAACTATGGTCCCAGGTGCTCCCGGCAGAGCAGGGAAGGGAGGGAGGGAAGCCCGGTAAGGATGTCTGCTGGGAAGGATACTCACAGGTAGCAAGAGGAGGCTGACTCCACCCCCCAGACACACAGAACCAACGTCACTCTGCCCCGCAATGCGGGGAGATCCACCTGCCAGGTGGCCACGAACCGAGTTATTGCTGTTTACAATCCATTCAGAGCTCCGCGCGGGGCTCATCTCAGCTCCAAGAGGAGGAGCTGTTCACTGGCTCCGCGGGCTCTGAAACGACCCCCCCACGAAGGGAGGGCGGGGGTGTCCTTCAGGGCACGGGGCCTTCACAGATGCTACATTCTGGGTGTCTGGAGGGGTTTCAGCTTCACACCTTCCTCCTGAAAGGACACACATGCTGGCGGAAATGAGGGTAAACGGTAACAAAGGGCACTTGGCAGCTGGAAACGTCACCTACATAGACTTAGCCAGGCCCGCAGCGGAAGGGAGGCACATTTTGGGAAAGAAACACACTTCAGTGCATTGCCAAACAATTCTACCCTGGTTTCATTAAAATCTCTCCTGATATTACCAGCAGGAAAACAAAAGCAATCTCCCCACAGCCCACCACCCAAACTCGACAACCAAATTAATAACATTTTCAACAAAATGTGGATAATATGATTGGTGCTTGCCATAGACTCTTAGGAACGTGATAGTCTCCCTCGCTTCTGCATAGAGTTGATACAGAGACCATTTCCTCCAGTGGGATCCTAGTGAGCAATGAATGAGCCCTACTCTGACTGAGTCCCACGCCTGGATGTCCGTCACGCGGCTAACTTTACGTGGCAGGTCTCAGGAAAGTCAGTTTCCAGGAAGAACCGACACGGGCACTCTTAGAGGCCATGCATCTCTGTCTTGAGATGTGTGTATAAAATCATAGATATGTCTATATGCACGTGCACTGTACTTACACATGGGTATAGTCAATTTACTAGTGAGCTCATATTCGTCTCCGGAGCACACAGGCAGGTTGGGGGTGGGGGACACCTACTGCCAGAGCGGGGTGTTCTGAGCCCTTGCTAAGGACTGTTCTAGATCACAACATAAACAAGAGGAGGACAATTCAACTCCATGTTGAGCCCAGCAATATGCATTCTCAGGGGAATAGCTCCAAATTTTACATTCACAGTGTTATTTCTCACAAATGTAAACATCTATCCAGAAACAACATCTGGCTGGTGACACTTCTGTCTCAGAGCTGTTGACATTACCTGCAGCGGAGGCGTGTGGGGAGCAGCGACAGTTCTAAGAACTTTCCCCTCATTCCCAAACCTTCTAGCAGCCTTTCCAGAAAAAGCTAGGATGAAACAGGAGCCCCCAGCCAAGAAGGAAGAACGGCAACTTTCTTGTTATAATTCAGCGGCTTCCCTTCAGGACCTCCTCAAACACCGGGGCCCTTTCTACCACTCCTGCTGCTCTGCCATGAGCACGAGGTGGTCCTAGCCGGGGGAGGCCTCTGCTGGGAGCTGGTGGGAAAAGTCTCATAGAGGCCTCACAGAGGAGGGGCTCGCTGTTGGCCCCCCTCATGTATGTGGGCAGCACGCAAGCCCGCATCTCAGCTGCTGTCCAGTTGCCACAGAGGACAGGGACAGGTGGAAGTTTGGGGGTCGCAAGGCAGCACCTGCAGAGACTCTGGAAAACAATTCCAACATTTCCTCCACTTACCATATTCAATACCCAAAACTTCGATGGGCACGACCAAACCAAGCCACGAGACAGTCGTCTACCTTGCCTGGCTCGCCTCTGGGGCTGAGGAAGCAGAGCCCCTGGCCCGTCTCACAGCCAAACGGCAAGCAGAGCTGCCATATCCCGTCCCTACGTTGCTGGCGCCCAGCTGTCCAAGGTGCACTTGCACTTTAACGGCTGGGCTCCTCTGGGCCTGTAGTCAGAGGGCTGGTCCAGGGACCTGGCCTGGGGACAGGAGTGGTGGCTCTGACTGCATCGTGGAGTGGTCTCCAGTGAGCACAGATCTGCCCTCTCCTGACTAAAAGGGGGCCCAGCACAAGATGTCAGCTGAAACAGGGCAGAAGGGCTGCCAGGTTCTGTCACTAACAGTGCCAAGACGCCAAGCTTTGCTCTTGACCAAGAGGGGCTCAGACAAAACATAGCTGAGTGACACTCTTGGAGCATGCGTCCCCGGAGTGGCAGACCCCACCCCAGGGCTAGCAAGGAACAAGAGTGGGAGGCCCATGTCTCCAGACACAGCGGAGGCTGCTCACAGCCAGGGAGGGCTGGCCTTGTCAGCCGAGTGACAGAGAGGCTGCTGTCCCTCACTGGTAGGTGGAGAATTCAGTCATCTGTGCCCAGGGAGGAGGGGCTCCAGGCACGCATGCCCCTAGGACAGTGGAGCCTGTCCTCAGTCCTGCTGTGGCCACCTGCACAAGAATGCCTCTCTACATCCCAGTCACCTGTGAATGCATAAACGGGAATGTGTACAACGGAAATGTCAGCAGGTGCTCAGGAGGGCTATGCCAGTGGCTACAGGAGAGGGAGCATGGCCAAGGGGCCCTGCCCACCTCCACGGACATTGTCGCATGCAGCACAGGCTTGCAGTTCACATACTTTACACGGGCATAGAAAGAGTTACGTTAAAATTAATCTCTTTACTGATATAATTGAATTTTAAATCCTGAGAAGAAAGAAGGGAGAAGGGCGCTGGGTGTCTAACGCCCCCAGCCAGTGGCCCAGCACACGCATGGCATCTGTGCACCCAGACACCGGGCATGACATGCACACCCCGGCTGGGAGACACAGGCCAGTGTTCCCAGAGCCTGCTTGTGGCTCCTTCTACTGCAGGACAGCAGGGGGGCCAACAGCCAGCCTGCAGGACGCAGGGACCTCGGCCCAGATGCAAGAGCAGCTGCGACCTGGTACCAACTAACAGGTGACTGTCAGGAGAAAGGACACCATCTGGTCACCTGCGGGGCGTGCAGCACAGCCGCTCCTGCACTCTGGAAGGCCTTAGGCTCAGCGCCCCCAGGACTGCAGACACTCCCTGCCTGGCCACTATGCCACCAAGAGCACTTCTGCCACGTGGCAGAGGCACCAGCATTGCCTGGCCGCCCGCGGCATGTGTGGAAGCCCACAGGGACCGAGCCAGCCCGGTGGAGGCAGGGTACAGGGCGCAGACTTCCAGAAGTTCCACTCCCAGCTGCCACCTCAGTCTCTCCCACCATGGCGCTCAGCAGGTGGAGACCTTATGGACATTTCGCAAACAAGTCAGCAGCCGGTGGTATGGGCTTCCTGGAGCTGCAACCATCTCAAACACAGACTGGAAGGCCCTGCGGTCGAGCTCCTCCTCTATCTGGTGTCTGTAAAAGTCTGTGGCGACCAGGCAGAAGAGGTTCACGTCCACCTGCTCCAGCTTGCCCATCCTGCTGATGACGTGTGGGAGGCTGGGGCAGGAGTTAAGGGAAAAGGCTGGCAAGTGAGGGAATGCTGCCTCCCTGTCCTCACCTGGGGTCCTCTCCTGGAATAGCCTGCAGCGGGGCCCGGGAGCTGCAGGGCGAGCAGAGCCCCAGAAGGGCCACCTGGACGGCTCCAACCGCAGCATCACCTCCACCTCCATTCCTGCAACCCTTGGCTGGCTGAGCACCCTGCTGGAAGGCCAGCTAGACGGCCAGCAGGGCGGAGGTGAGCTGGGCAGAGCTGGCCAAGGAAGCAGGAGCCCTGAGGGCAGGCACCCACTTGGCAGCACTCACCTGGCCTGGCTCCTGTGAAGTGCTGGTGGCCAGTGCTCCCGTTGGCCCCCGCTAGCCCTGCTCCAGTGCAGGGAGGGCAGAGCCATGCCAGGCACACTAGGCGAGAATGTGCTGTCAGCACCAGGACAACCGTGCAGCTTGGAGGCTCTTGTGATCTGTTTTGGGGGAGGGCTGTGGAAAGGGAGACTCCTGGCAGCCAGCATCTGGGGGTGGGAACTGGATCTTTACTGAAGCCTTTCCCCGAGAGGGCGATTGAGGCACAATGACCAAAGCTAATGAGAAGCAGTGTCAGGAGAAGCCCAGCCACACAGAGCCGGTGAGTGGGCGGGACGTCTAGAGACCGCTGCCCTCCCTTGCTGCCCTCACCCCGGCCCTCCACAGAAGGGCCCCTCAGCTGCGATCCGCCATACACCAGCCCCTCTGAGAGGTCCTGGTCAGCAAAGGTCTGGATGTTCTCCTCTCTGTACCCGTTAGCATTTTACTCCCTTGGGGCTGAGGGCCTGTCACCTTGGCATATGTGGGGTT